GTGTATCTGTTAGTATAATAAACTGTGTATCTGTTAGTATAATAAACTGTGTATCTGTTAGTAGAATAAACTGTGTATCTGTTAGTAGAATAAACTTCTACTTTTGTAATCATACTTCAAAATTTCCTGGAGGTTTCTTGTTCCGATTGCTATCGTACCCTTTCATAGCCTGTCTGGGGTAACAATTAGATGTCTTTTAGTTCTCTATTGCTCTCTGAATTATATTTAGGTTTCCATGTCTCAGCTACCCTTTTGTGCATCTATGCTGTTTTTCTTTAGATTTCTGCGGGGATTCCTCCGACAGTCCTGTCTACTTGTTAAAATGGTAATGATGCCTGTTCACAGTAGGTGTCACATGATTTCATCTTGCAATGCATTACTGCAAAACCCTTTCTGTTGTGCGTTGTCAAGCAGCTGAGGCTGCCTGCATAAGGCCTGCACATCCCAGCGGGGAGCAGGAGGAGCATACGAGACTGCAACTAAGGAGCCGCAGACAGCTGAAGCCTTCTGTGGGAGGGCGAGTCAGTATTCTTTAAGGATATAGACCCTCATCGTCTAGCCAGGCTCCAGTGGATGGCCTTACACTCCTGAGTATGTGGACAACACAAATTAGACTCCTGAGTTAAAGAAGTAGGACACATATTGGGAGGGAGTAGAAGTCCAGAGAGTGGATCTGGGAGGAGTGAGGGAAGGAATGAGGGGTGAATTGATGAAAACACATAGTATGAAATTCTGAAAGAATTAAAATTCTCCAAAAAAGAATAATCAAGGCCAGGCATGGTGCTGCACAGAGGCAGGCACATCACTATGAGATAGATGCTAGCCTGGTGTACCTAGTGAGTTCTAGGCCAGCTGGGGCTGCAGAGAGACTCTGCCTCAAAACAAGCAAGCAAACAAAAAGGAATAATCAAAATTTTGTCTTTGAACCAGTTTACAGTACCAGGTAAGAAATCCTTCTGGTGAAGTAGGCCTCATATCCAGTTAGAAAGCGTGTAGTCGTCCCTATTACCATCATGCAACTACTATGCCAGTGGGCACATCTTGCAAGGAGGCTGCTGGTTTACTACTAAATGGTCATGCTATCAAACTGCATTCAAAGTACTGACGTTCTACCCACAGACTTGTGCTCTTCTCAGCTTTGGCCAGAGAAGCTTCTTTTGCAGTGGGTAATGATTAATTCGGACACTCTTAACAGGTCAGAGCACCACATGTAAATAACACTGAGTAGTCAGTTGTGGATGGGCCGTCGATATGGGCCGTCGACATCAACCTCTCAGCATCCATGGCTCGGGAACTTTGCGGAAGACAGGACAGAGTGTACAACTGATGAAAAGAGGAGCCATGAAATGCTGATTTCTGATTATGACATGGTTGTTGCATTAATTCACAGCGCTGTGGCTACCTGCACGAGGCTTGCCCAAGATCAAAAGTCAAAATTCAGCATGGATGGATGAGGGGGCCGGGGCCCCATCCCTGTCGTAGAAGCTGAGGGTAAGTGACGGCTATGGAAGGAAGGAGTATTACTCTCCTTCGGAGAACTGGGCTCTGGTAGGTTGGTCATACCCCAGTGAAAGGCCACACAGCATGTACACAAGGACAGCACTAACTGGAGTTGGGGGTTATTAATAATAATAACAATAAAAAACCCAAGAGGACATGAAGTTGGGAGGTAGATGGGGTGGTAAGAACCAAGGGGAGTTACAGAGAAGTGGTAGTGGCTGGGAACAGGTGTAGAAAACTTCCAAAAAGATATTCTTTTTGTTTATTTATTTTATGATGAAAACAAACTTTTTTTTTCAAATTCCCTTTCAATTATATGAATTTATATACTTGCATTTCTAAGAGAAGCACAGTTTATTACATATACAAACTAGAGACAATTTAGAAAGCTTTAATTCTCTTTTCTAACGCAATAGCAAATACCTTGCCCTTATCTCTTAAAGGATACAAAACTGCCTCCCCCATCAAACTTTAGGAAACTTGGCTTTTTCTTTCAAAAGAATAAATACATTGGTGACACTTTAAAAATTATTTCCAAAATCAATGATTAGAAATGAACATTGCTATTGTCTGAAAACCACTAAATGCACTGGAGTTTAGAGTTCATTTAAGCTTTCAGCCTTAAGTAATATTTCTTTTTTATGCTTTTAATCTTATGAAACAGAAATAGCTAAAAATAAAAGCAGTCTATTAAATAAATAAGGTTTTTCTTCAACAGCAGAGATAAATCATTTTCCAAGGAGAGCTCATGAGGAGCAGACACTGCCAGCGCGGAAGCCCTCACCTGCAAAGACCCGGCACGCTAATGCTCACTCTCGCGCCTGCGCACAGCTGATGGGGTAATACGCTTATGGATCTTAAATCTCAAGGCCGATGTCCAGCATTTACGGCAATAAAAAAAACTCAGTCTTATATGAAAATGTAAGGTTCTATTTTTTTTACATTCTAAAACAATGATTTAAAAAATTTAACAGAAGATGGGCCAGGGCATTGGTTCAATAGGTAAAGGAGCTTGCTCTGTTCCATCCAGAAATCCCACATTAGAACAAACGAAAAGCATGATGAAATGGGCCGCGTGCATAACGCCAGCACCCTTACACCTGAGCTCACACACAAATATGCAGAAATACACATACCCACACACACACAGAAATTTATAAATAAAAAAGGCAGAATAATCGAATTTTCAAAACAACATTAAAGAAACGCACAAATGTCTACCTAAATCACAGAAATAATATGAAGTTATTTTATTTAAGGAGGTTACAGCATAGGAAAAACAAAAACAAAACTTTTGAATCATGGCTTCCCGGTTCTATACAGAGCAAAAAGAATTTTTTTTTTTTTTTCCAAAAGAGAGGTTCACTCTAATTATGTGAAGAAGAAAGAGAACCTGTGGGCTCCGACTTCTGGGTTATCAGTATAGGTATGGCTTTAATGGATATTTCTTTCTAAAAGCAAATAAAATACTCCATTAGTTCATTTGTTGAACATATCTGGTAACCGAAACAGCACAGGGCCCTTTGAAAGCCGCGTGGGACGGACAGCGCAGTTCCTGATTTCCAAGACTTCATATATAAATCAACATATGAAGTAGAAACTGCGCTGCGCAGGGCTCATAGCCCAGCAGGAAACTGATACAGCCTGGAGGGAGTCTCTGAGCGCACTGACGGTGGAGAAAAAGAACGATTACCTGGCTGTATCTTACACTATCACTGGGCTTTAAATAGCTCAAAGAAGAATCTATTCAACACACTCATGGCGAAGAAATGTGGCTGGATTTAGAGAACACACTGGGGAAGGGCGTCTGTGTGACCAGAGTGGAACCGGCAGGACCGGAGCTCAAAGGGAAATAAAATCAAATAGCCAAGTGTGAAAAACATGATCAGGTTCGACCATCTGCTTCGGCTTCCTGCCATGCTCCTCCTTCGGGTCTGCACGTCCCTTTCTCACTGGGGTGCGGTTTACACAATGCTTTGCTTTGGCCCGTGAGGAAGTAGAAGAGAAGGTCATGATCTCCCCTCTTCCATGAAGTGAACACGCTCCAGGTAGGACAGTTCAACCCCAAAACATGAGCCAAGCCCCTGCGAACTCACCATGACGCCAGATGTTGTGGGGGAGGAATTCATACCCTTGAAGCCACCGGATCCAGTCTCACTGCCACAGAGGCTGTCCTGCCTGACACAGCCTGGTAGAGCCAGATGCAGGTAATGCCACAGTGATCAAACAGTAAGATTCTCAGGTAGTTTAGAGCTGGTGTTCATTTCCACACAAGCCCTTTCATCTGGTTCTGACCAGGGGAAGGATTTGACTAGCCTTGGTTTGACAGGGCAGCCTGTCAGCCATATTCATGTTTATCCAAAAATCTAAGGCAAGAAGACCAGCACCTCTCAGCTGTGTTTGATCACCTCATTTGAACTTGCAAACTAGCCCACCCTCTCTTGTGCTCTGTAGCCCCTCCCTTTTCTGTTTTCCACATTACTTCACAATTTATACGTGTGTGAACACACAGAAACAGACAGACGTGTGTATGTATTTACAAACGCAGACAGTATCTGTTTGCAACAACTTACATAAAACTTACACAGTTGGAAAAACTTGGAAATTAATATGCATCCTATGGTACCCTCCTGAAAAATTACAATTTCTAGATTCCTGTGAAGGGAGTAAACATTATCTCTTTTACAAATAGAACAGAGACAGAACAAAGCTCTATGAAATTTACTAGTTATTTCATTAGTATCAACTTACAAGAAACACTTCAGCTTGTTTCTCTACAAAATAAAAAGCATCACACTTCAGGAAGCTCCTGACCTATAATGGCTTGGGATAGCTTGTCCAAGAATGTCCTATTTATAGCTCAGTAGAGGGGCAAGGAATATCCTCACTCAAAGTGTAGAGAATAAGAAACTGCACAGTACATGTCCCTGGATAAGACTCCTGTATTAAACCTCAACCATCCAGGACTCAAGGACCATTGCAGAAGAGGGCCAGAAAGATTGTAAGAGCCAGGAGTGGTACATGGCTACAAGGAAACAGGATCTTCTGGGCTTCTGGCAACTTGCTAATATGAACTTGGAGCAATGGCGACAGCATGCCTAACAATCAGACAAAAACCCAGCACAGAACTGGGAAATGGGCAGGAGGCCTCCACCTTCACCAAGGAACTATGAGTTGATATTCTTTAAGAGAGTGACTCTACACAGGCTGAACAGGCTCCAGGAGATGAACTCACACCAAGAGACTTCTGGGTAAACAAACTTGACTCAATAGGCCTTAACACATATGAAAGAATGCATGAAATTCTGGGGACAGGTTATGGGAGTGCAGAGAGGGAAGGATGCCTAAATATGATGTATGAAATTCACAAAACTTCAATAAAAATACACACTGAAAAAAATAAGAACAAGATCCAAGATGGAGAGGCAGCCACCAGTTAACAGGCCTGGCTGCTCTTCCAGAGGTCCTGGGTTTAGTTTCCATCACCCACATGGCTGTTCACAACACTCTTTAACCCCAGTTCCAGGGGACTCAATGCCCTCTTCTGGCTTCTGTGGGTGCCTGTACACATGTGGCCAACAGACACATACATAAAAAGTAAAAATCTTTCAAACGTTTTTCCAACAATTGAGAATTTAATACAACGTATTTTGATCATACTCACCCCGACTGCTCCTCCTAACTCCTCCCAGACCTACCCCCTCCTCCCTACTTCTCAACTCCATGTCCTCTTTTATAGAATAAATCGAGGCAAAAAATATGTCAGAGAGCATCTATGTTACTTGTACTCAAAGTTAGAACATGGAGCCTTTTTACCCTCACAAGATAGTTTAGTACAACCATTGATATTTTAGATACTTCTAGAACATTATGGGTTAAAATGGTTTATTCGTTGTTGCTCTAAGCTGAGAAATCTGCAATTTTTATGTTTTTAGTGTCACAAGTAGAAAAAGTTAAAGAAAACAGACTTAGGAGGGTTTCTGTAACTCTGCCATCTGAAAGGGAGGCCAGGTTATAGTTACAAAGTACAGGACTTCTCAGAGAGAGCAATGCATTTTTGTTTCCAGAAAGATTTTTCCATCAAAAGAAGATACCACGCCATGAGAGTAAGTCTCAAGTTAATGATACAGAGAAAAGTTAAATATGTATATTGCTATCTTCTCTTTTTACAGATAAAAGAAGCAAAACCTTTTAGTCCTCCAAAATCTTACCTGATTGTAGAATAATTAAAATATTTCACCCACCAATCTGTTAACTTCATAGCATTTACTATTCATTTTAAAATGAAACTAACTGTTCGAATTCTGAATGAATTGAAAAGCTTCAAATGCCCGATAATTACAAATGACTTAAGTGTGCTATGTCCCAGAGGGAGCAAGAGGGTGAAGTCTCTGCCCTGTGGAGCCCACAGTGCAGTGGAGGAGGACAAGGCACAGCGCACGCTTACATCTCCTCTAACTGAACTTAGAGGAGACTATGGAAGACTTTAGGAGGATGTGCTAGCTGAATCATGACGTAGAGATGTACAAGTTCCATCAGATGGAAAAGGACCTTCTTATGAACAGTCTAGCCGTGTAACAGCACAGAGGAGAAAACAGAACCGAATCTGGCAGAGGCTTCAGCTGCAGCTGCAACACACAGGTCTTAACGATGGAATGGGATTGAAGAGATCATTTACTCAGCAGACACTTACTATCAAGGAAGCATCATTAGAAATGACCTTAGGTACGGGTGATATCCCCAGACTGTGAAGAGTTTTATTCTACCTGCTATTCCAATTGTTTTAGAATTTATTTTGTAACAAGGAGCCAGTGGCTCTCGAGCAGGTAGTCGTAGGATCAATGTCTTTACCTATGTTTAGGGAAGTAACTGGAGTTTGATGTGAGAGAGACTGGTGACCAACAATAAGTTCACAGTAATACGGGGATGGATGATGGGGGAGGAAACAGGGCAGAGCGCAGAAGGACACAAGTCAGAAGATGGCTGACAAGCATTTCTGGCAAGCAGCTGAGCAGCAGGAAGCGCAATCACCATTGGGTGCTTTCCCAAGAACGGACAGGGTTAGGAGCAGCAGCCCCAGCATCATGAGATGACGTCAGCATCATGAGATGACGTCAGCATCATGAGATGACGTCAGCATCGTGAATCCAGCTAAGAGTCTAAAAGTACCACTGTGGTATATTCCAATTTAAAATAAATTCAGAGGATAACTAGGGCCTGAGAAGTCAAAACCAGATGGCAAGGCCTCCCAGAAGAGAATGGGCCTCTAAAGCAAACAATGGGCATAGCCTTCAAAGGGAGTGGGACCCGTGGCATGGTGGACAATAAAGCACACAGACTTGAAAAGACCAATGCAGCAACAGGAAGCCATTAGAGCCGAATGGAGTCTGGTGGGGTGGGACCAGGGATCAAGCATGAATGGGTGCTAAGGCAGGGAATGAAGGCCACTTGTTTTTGTTTTGTTTCAGTGCTCACGGAACTGGGTTACAGAAGGACATTTCCATACGTGCATGAAACATACACTGAGCACAGCCCCACACCCTGTAGCTTCCCTTTTCACTCCTAGTCCCTTTGTCACCCTAGACACTTGTGCTTCTAATTTCCTGCCACAGACACACATGCGTTTTATGTATCTTTTTCTGAAAGTTCTGACTATGAAGACATAAAGTAAGATCAATTACTTCAGGCAAGAAAGAACTGAGACGATAGAGGGGTCTGCTTCAGAAATGAGTAGACTAAAGATGGACGCATGGAAGACAGAAACTAATGAGGTAACGTTAGAGGAATGAGCTTGGGAAGACAGCGGCCATCCTTTTGTGGGCATGCAGCGTGTGCCAGACGTCCTGTTGAGCACTTTCACATCGCTCC